GACCACATTAGTGAGGTCCCACAAATACACGCTTGACCAATCGCAAGTCAGTCTCTAAATCTGTTAATGGTGTTTTTACAGCATCAAAAACAGAACTAGAATGGCATTCAGTAGAGCTCACATCTCTGCCAAGGCCCAACAGTCCTTTTAAAATGTGTCAAAATTTCACACACCCGTAGACAGCAGTTTCCTAAATGTGCCAATTTTTTCCCCCATCAATATCCAGTCAAAATGTTCCAATTTCAAATAAATGTCTAGATCTGCCTCTTGATCCGGATTGGCACCAACTGTTTATGGATACTTTCCTGACCCGTATTCAATCCTTCCACCAAGTTTCGTGGCAAACCGTTGTATTGTTTTTTGTGAAATCAAGAGGGACGTGTACTGCTGCCAGCCACCAGGGGGCGATCAATGTTCTTTGACTTCACTTTTGGTCTGACATTTTGTTGTCCATCTTTATTTAAAGTCTAAATATGGGACAGTTAAATCTCAAATTCGTGAACATGAAGAAGTTAATTGGAACGGGCCTGTCATTATTTGTTAAATTGCAAATGCTGTGAAGCTCTTTAATTATTACCTAAAGACCTGCTGCCCACTCACTTGAGATGTTTCGGTCATCTACATCTTCAGGCTTTTGCTGTTTTGAAATATCTTGTCAATCTTATTTATTTTTGCCCCGAGTCTTGTAGGCCCTTTACAACGTTGGGTCCTGGGGCTTGAGCTACACACACACACACACACACACACACACACACACACACATACACACACACACACATGCTTCCAGACTGTGACCTAATATGTCTTTTGGGAATAATCCAAGTCCTAAACTTCTTCCCCAACAGCTGTCAACGTCTCCTCCTCCTGCTCCTGTTCAGGAATAAAAACCCACTGAGAGCAGCTCCTGTGACTTTGAGTTTCTGTGTGTGTTCCTGTGTGTTTACTACCGCCCATTTAAAGTTTACATGATGCTGTAAAAGTTGCGCATGAAGATCTAAAAATGGAACCTGAAGCAACACAGCGAACTGAGCTGCGTGTGAATGCTGACGATGGATAGCAGAGGTTAGATAGTGTGACTTTGTGAGATTGTGTATGTGCGTGACAGCTGCAACGTATTGTATTCGTACATATTCCTCCACTGTCATAAAACCCCCTGAGCCGTCAGCTAACCACCCCATCATACCCGCTTTGGTATAACAGTTACCATGGTGACCCGAGCCTGCCCCAAATTCACTGCAGTGAATAAAAATAGGATTCACTCAAGGTTGTGACATCGGACTGAGGATACTCGGAGGGGATGTTGGTTCCTGTCCCTTTTCAACATGAGCTGATTAAAGAAAGAAGCAACGTGTTTTAATGTAAACACACTGAGAATATACTTGTTTCAATAAGTGTGCAGGGGAAACTTATTTTTGATTGATTGTCATTTTTATTACCTTTGGTTTCAGTTGTCGAATTGCAAAGCGCAGCCACTTTAAATTCATCTTTTAAGACTGTTTAAGATCCTCTGCCTCATGGTGAAATGAATCAAATCTGTTTACTTTCTAGCATCATGATGAACTGACTGAAAATGTGATGGGTAAATTAGTGTCGCCTTGGGAGAAAAATGGTTCAAGCGAAACGTGATTGATATGAAAACCATGTTTGCTTGTGTGCCAGGCTTTATTCAGTGACAGTCTTTTTCAGATTTATGGCATTTAATCTTTTGTGGAAGTGGTTGTTTTGATCTGCGGTTTCAAAAGAGTATTGAGTAGAAAATAAGTTGATGACAGTCACAACTTTCATTTGATGAGGGTTTTGCCGTTGAGCAGCAACCATTCAAACATCAGCAGATATTTTGATTCATTTGTCCTATGATATTGTCAAACTTTATTTTTTAGTTTTCTGACTGTTTATTTTTGTCATCTTCTATTTTTAAATCAGCCCTTACGTAGAGAAAATACTGAGGTGTTGGGGAAATGTCTATGTGCAGAGTGAGCACTTGCCAGTAAACCATGAGCTCAAATCCTCAAAAAATATTTAATTTACATTGACAGTTTATAAACATAAAATTATGCAATTGATATTTTTATATAATGATGTGATGTAAGTGTAAAAGTGTTGCGTATCCTAACATCAATGATGACGATGATAATGTTTCAGAACATCATGGCTTTATTGACTAAGAAATCACCATCATTTTATTTCCTTTCTCATGCTGCTGGTCTCAGATAAAGCTCTAAGGTTCTTCAATTTCAGTCTGAAAAACTCCTCGTCCGATTGTAAAATGAGCTGCTGCCTGAGTGAATCAGTCCCTAATTACGAACAAATTGTGAGCACATATTAAATGAAAGGTGCAGTTCATAAATCTGCCTCTTTCTGCTTTCGGACGTTGGTTCATTTGGTGCGAATAAATCTCAGGTGACACAAATCAAATCGACAGCGTCCTATGCGGCCAGCAGCACAAGGGGTCCCTCTGAACAAATTCACATTTGGGCCGACGATGGCCCGACTCCAAGAGTCGTGTTGGTAATAGAAGAGATATGGACCCTCTCCAATTCCAGCACCTGTCACAGTCGATGTTTATTGGAGGCTAATAGAATTCCGGAAGGAGAGTTTCATCTTTGTGGTTAATGAAGCGGAAGAGACGCACTGATTTGATGTGAATGCCAACAACATCCCATTCTGTTATCGTTAGGCTTAATTGGCACTGTCAATCACAAGTGTGTTTCCATGGCAACAGTGAGGATCAATATGAGCCTGTATGTATTGAATAACCTAAATCTGTATTACATGAGGGGATGGGACTGATTAAGTGTGTGTGTGT